ACGGGGTCACAATGGTTTGAAACTGGAGTAACTCCATTGAATGTAAACAGGGTCACAACGGTGTGAAACTGGAGTAACTACACTGAATGTGAACAGGGTCAGAAGGGTGTGAAACTGGAGTAACCCCATTGAAGCCAATGAGGCTACAAAGGCCGCAAGTTAGGCATAAGCAGGATCAGAAGGGGTGCGCCCCGGATTACGCCAGCACAGCCGGACCTTGAGCCCAGCCCTATGCGACGCCACCCCAAGGTTTCTGAGCCGCGCGGAGCCTTCCCCAGGACGTCAGAACCAACACACACTTAAAAAAGAAAATCAACAAACAACAGCCCCCAATTGAACCCTGAAGGGTTTGACAAATGGCGAAAAGTCCCTCCCCCCCTTAATTTTACTACGAGAACCAGTGCATGCAGCTATTCCTGTGCAGTGATACCAGTACAGTTAATACTTAGTCTTAGAAGGCAAGGCACATCATGTGGTATCAAATTTCGTGCAAATTAGGAAACATGGATTTTTTAACTTTTTTTCTTTTATACATAATTTTTTGTAAAGGGGGGGGGAAGGTAGAGCCAGTTATACAGTCTGCCATGCACATTATCAGCCAGTAGCTGATTGTTTGAGCTAGGTCACATGAGTTCCTGTTAAAGCACCATGCAGTTTATTTCTATTTTTTTTTGTATTTTTAATTTTTTTCCCCCTCTCCATCAATTGCTTTTTTTTGGACTTCCTGTGTCAGCCCCTCCCACAGGGGGGCACCAGAAATGAGGTCCCTCCGTCCCCCTGCCAGCTAAGGTCCCACCTTGGAGATGGACCTGGTATGCAAGGTTGGCCCTCCCCGTGGGCCCGATTGTGAAAACAGCTCCTTGGAACCAGCCAGTCTCGCCCCCAAAACCCAGCGCTGAGAGCAGGGGGCCTCCCCTGGAAACTGCAGGTGTTGGGATCCCATCAGGCCTGATCCAGCCCCACCTCGCTTTGGCTTTGGCTGGTCTGCTGGGCAGCGCAGGCCCTGGGAGCTGGGAGCCACAGGTGCGCGCCGCCACAGGCTAATTCGCCCCGAGCTCTGGGGAAGCAGGCCGTGTACCCGGGGCGGGCGCAAGGGCGCGCCCCTCTTCCTCCTTGTGTCTGACTCGCTGTCTGATGGAAAGTCACTTCCAAAGGCCCGAGCTCCTGTTGGGGAGGAGAAACCAGCATCTCTGTGTCGGGCATGCCAGAGAAGGGGGCGGAAGGGAAGCAGGCGGGGGGCACCAGGAGGGGGAAGAAATAGTGGGAGAGCACCCCCCCAAAACTGTACAAAGCCATAGGGGGCAAAGAGTTTGATTCAAAGGAAAGCATCTCCGATTTTCACTGGAGCCAGTGCCTAGACGCTACTGGGGCTAGAGAGAGAGAGAGAGAGAGGGTGGATGCGGATAGATAGATAGATAGATAGATAGATAGATAGATAGATAGAAGGAGTGTGTGGGGATAGATAGATAGATGGGGTGGATGGGGATAGATAGATAGATAGATAGAGGGGATGGATGGGAATAGATAGAGGGGGGGTGGATGGGGATAGATAGAGAGGGATCAAGGGGCACTGGGCTGAGCGGGAAGCCTTGCGGTGGGCAGGGGTGGTTAGAAATGATTGTCACAGGTGATCAGCATCTGCTGCAGCCGCGGGCAGCGGAGCGGGCTCTGTCTGTGCACCCCTGGAACGGACCCAGGGAGCAGCCTCCGGGGCAGCGGGGGAGGATGAACCAGAACTGGAATCTTTTGCCCTCCATAATTAACCTGGGTACCTCCTGGGCAGAGCGGGGACAGGAGGGGAGCCCGGCCTGGACTGTAGGGCCAGGATGGATTTTCCTGCCTCTCTGGCGAGGACTCAGGCCAGGCGCAGCGGAGAAGCAGCGCGTGTGTGGCTTGCAGGCCCCTGGTGTTTTCCTGCTGCGAAGAGCGCTCCAGTTCCCTGGCTCCCTTGTGCCCAGATGGCCCATTCGCAGCCTTCCTCTCCAGTCATCGCTCCTCCGCCATCCTCTTCCTCCTTTCCTGCTGGGACTCTCCACTCGGGAGTGTGCGCGGCCCTCGGGCTGGGAACGCACGGCCCCATCGCGCCCCTTCTCCCCTCGCTGGGCGCAGCAGAGCCTGGAGCCGGGGAGCAGGGCAGGGGCTGGCCGGCGGGAAGGAGCAGGGGGAGCAAACTGCCGGTCTTGCTGTGCCTGGGAGGAGGCTGTCGTCTGGGGCCAGCTCTAGATAGGGTCCCGTGCTGGTGGAGGTGGGTGTGAGGGGGGACGGGCTGACTCATTGATGTTCAGGCACAGGGGCAGGTGGGGACTGGTCCCACTGACAGTCCCTCACTCTCCTTTGGGGGTCTCCTGTGGCTGGAGAACAGCGGCGCTGGGCTCTCCGAGGGCACCGCCGGGTGCTGGGCAATGCCAACAGGTGCTGGCAGTTGGGTGGCACTGCCTCTGCCTGGATTCCTGACGCTTTGCTCCGTGGTCTTTGGGCTCCCCCTCCCCAGAGACACCTGCCCTGCGGCTAGCTCTCCCCCGCCCCCGGTGTATCTATGGGCAGGAAGCGGGGGACGGCCCCTCGTTTCTCCACCGCAGGCAATTGCCTGCGTAAAGCGGAGGAGACAGCAGCAGGGGCGCCAAGGGAGGGAGCAGCGCGGTCCCGCCGCTGATCTAAGGCACTAACCGGCGGTGCTGCCTGCAGGGGGACAAGGCTGGGTCTCCTCTCTCTGGGCCCCGCTGCATCTCCATCCCACCTGCTCTGCTCCACGCTTGGACAGCGTCTGGGCTTGGACCAGGGTTCGCCTCCCCTCGGAGCCCGGCCTCCCCCGGAGATGGGCAGCGCTGGCTGCTGGAAAGAGCGATGCCGGGTTTGTACCCGGGTGACTGAGGAGGATCTGGCCTTAGCCGCCTGGTATCAGCCCATCAGTGGATGCCTGGGGTCTTCTCTAGGCGAGCCCAGCAGCTTTGTAGCCACACGCCTGGCCAGAGCAGGGCGAGGGAAAGCTCTCCTCATCCCCGGCGTCTCCGGCCGCCCGTCTCGGAGGGACAGAGAGGAGCTGGTGAGAAGCAGCCGTTGGACCTTTAGAGCGCTCTCCTAAGGAGCCCGGGCACAGCATGACATGGGCCAGGGAGGGAGGATGGTGCTGGCTTGGTGAATTCGCACGGCTCTTTGCCGTGAACAAACAGAGGATCCGAGAATGTGCGGGTGCCTTTGTCCCATAGCACCAGTGCCCCCCCAGGCAGGGCTGGTCCTGGGAGCAGAGTCCCCCCTCTCCCTGGTCACGCTTTCGATTGCCAAAGGGCGCAGCCAATGGCCCGTTTCTCTTGCTGCTGTGTGTGCGGCACTCGTGTGCGGTTCGCTTGGAAGAGGCAGCCCTCCAACAACTGCCTGGCCCTCAGTGTCCTGGATCGGTGGGCGGAGTCCCTCGCCGAGCCCATCCCATGCTCCGCCTCGTGTCGTTTAATTTAGCTTCTCTCAGGCCCAGCCAGGAATCACAGTGAACGGGGCCCAGTTTGACTTCATGCCTCTGTGCGTGCGGAAGAGCTGCGTGCATCTCTCACCAACACATGCTGGCCCAGTTCTCGCTAATCTCCCAGGGCCCGCACGGCTCCCCCAGCCCTGCGGGCAGCAGTGGAGGGCCAGGGGAAAGCGGAGATGCTGCACCTCCACACGCCCGGCTTGCCGACGCCCAGGGCACGGCAGTAGACAATTGAGGCACTTGAACCAGTCAGGAACTGCGTTCTACCTCCCAGCGGGGTTTGCTGACGGCGGGGGCTGAGGAGCGACTGGCCGGGGAGAAGGAAATGGGGAACCCCGTGGTGTCACTGCCCCCACCCATTTGAATTTAGGGCACCTTGCCTACCCAAGTCATGGATCCAAGGCCCCCCACAAATGGGGTGGGGGGTCCCATCTGTGGTGCATCCTCTCAGGAAGCAAATCATCTCTCTTTAAAAAAAAAAATCTCCCAGCAAGCCAGTGCCGGGAGCTCCAATCTCCTGCTGCTGCTCTTTTTTTTATCATTCCCTCTTAAAAGTGCATTTCCTACAAAATGTGCAACACAATTGCAACCATCTCGCCACTAGTCTACATGGTACCTGTCCACAGGTGTGCATAGCTCTTTGTACACAGGTGCGCGGGGAAATCTCGCTCCAACCTTCCCTCCCCTCGGCCCGCCTGTCCCAGCCTAACTTTCCAGAGCCACGCGAGAAGAAGACTCGGTCCACACGAATCCCAGGCCCTGCCCTGGTAGCAGAGTCCAGCCCCGCCTCGCCCCCACACACAGAGAGCTGCGGGCTTTTCAAACAGGCCCCGCATTTGCCAGGAGCTACGCGGCGTAAGCTCCAGTATGGAAAGTTTACCAGTGTGGCACGCTACATTGGCGCAGCCCCATGCTATGGGCATGACACCCATGTAAGGGCGGAATAGCCCCACCCATGGGCTTCGACGGAGCCACGCCACACGCTGGCGTCGTGTCTTTCACTGCAGAGAGACAGACGGATTTGCTCCTGGCTGGCTCCGGCTGGCAGGGCTCGGCAGCAGGGGAAGGCACCTGGGGAATAGCAGACGCCATTGGGAGAATTATTCCCAGAGGAGAGATTTGGAGTTTTGGACTCAGCTGTTTCAGCCGATCTGTAATTCCACCCCCTTGATTTCCAAACCGAGCTGCAGGGCTAATTCCCAGAGCCCGTTAGTGCCTATCTGAACAGCAGCCTTATCTCTGCTCCTTGTACATTCCAGCCAGCCGGACGGTGAGTCTCAGACCCGTCTCCTCCCTGCAGTGCTGGCTCGTGCCAAGTCTCCAAGCTGTGGAAACGTCTCCCCTTGAAGCCAGTGCCCTGCTCCCCTCCAGGTTCCTCGCCTGGAACGTACAGAGGAGCCCAGATGCACAGCCTACGGCTTAGCTCAGGGGACAGCAGAGTTCTGTCAGTAGCCAGTACCCCTCCCCTTCTGCAGCCGATAGTGCCCAAAGGCAATCCGAGAAAGAGAAGGATTAAAGGGGCTCCGGCCCGTGTACCCCCACCACCCCCGCTTCCCCACAATGCCACTCCTGTGGTGCACCAGAAAGCACTGCCAAGATCCCAGGAGGGCTCCGTTCCCCACCCTAAAGAAGAGCATTTAATGGCATAGAGTATTTAAGAAAAAACAAAGAAAAGGCAAACGTGTTGTCCGAACTCTGGGCCAGCAGGTGGCTGGAGGCGTCTAGTCTGGGGTGGAACGGGGAGCAACAGCGCTAAGGAGCGCTCGCCCGCCCCACCCAGCACCTCTGGTTCAGAAACAACTCAATGCCTTGGTTCTTTGTCTTCCCACCCAGCCCCAGCACCCTCCTGGAAAGTAAACACTTTGCTGAGGAGGGTGGGCTGGGGTGGGGGAACCTGGGAAATTTGTTCTTTTCTACTCACGAGAGGCGAGAACGTAAGAGTAAATCAGAAAGACAATTTTGCATATACAACCCTTTGGAGAACTGCAGGCGAGACTCCGGCGTTGCTGCTGCTGCTGGAAGAGACCTGTGTCATGAGCTGTGTCCGTTCTCTTCCCAGGAGGTCAGCCGGCAGGGCAAATAGTGTTTCTGGCAAACGGGACTCCGCATCGTCGCGTGCGTGGATCGCTGTTTTGTCTGTAGGGTTTTTGTTTGTTTTTACTTTTTAAAAAAGTTTGAACCTTTTCCTTCCTTCCTTGTAACGTCTTGGGTGTGGGTCTCTTTTTCTTGTTGTCGTTGTCGTCATCGTTAATTCGCTCTCTCCATCTTCACCGAAAGGCTGGGCCTGGGGCTGTGTTACTTGTTTTCCTCTCGGGACGCCCAAAGCAGAGGAGAAGGGAGGCGACGGGATGGGGCAGCTCTGATTATCCCAGGTACCAGGACTGAGCAGGAAAGAAAGGGGGGAAAAAAAGAACAGATGCCGCGGTTACTGATTTGCATACAAGCCCCTCCCCCCACGCCCAGCAAAGGCTGATGGGAGCTCGTAAGTCTCGGCCTCAGCTTTCAGTGTATTAGAAGCAAAGGGACCCGACGCCCATGGTCACTGGTTTGAACTGGGCCAGGTGTTAATAGTACCTGGGTCACTGCAGGGCTTGGTGCCCCTTGCCTGCCATCGCTGAGCTGGGGCAGCGGGGAGGGCACTGGCCTGGGACCGAGGGGACATGCAGCTACTCCTGGCCCGTCTCAGGCAAATCACTTACTCTCTGTGCCTCGGTTTCCCCCTGTGCCTTACAGGGACATACTACTGCTTGGAGCTATTGAGTGCCCTGAGCGCCTGGGCCCATCTGCGCTCCCTGTGAGAGCCTCCTTGCTGCAGTCACATTTCCAAAGGGGGGGGGGCATGTGTGGCGTGTGAAGTCTGGGCTCTGCCAGGCAGGGAGCGAGCGAATGCCCCAGCCTGGCCCCAGTCAGATGCTGATGGTGTCTGCTGAGCTCGGCCGTGGCCCGTGGAGACGACCCCACTCAGCTAGATCGCACCGTCCCGCGGGTCTTCGCGTTCAGCCAGCTCCCGACATGTCAGAGCTCTGCCCACCCTGCTTTTCTCCTCCCTTCCCTTCTCACGCCCTGCTGCCTCTGCTCCCTCCAGCACCACCCGATCAGCTCCGCGCGGCGACGGAGCCTGCCCCACAGGACGTACGGCACCATGGGCCGAAGCCAGGAGCTCTCTGAACAAGCACCGAGCGCATCACAGCGCTCCCGAGAGGGGTGTCAGCATTAGGTCCATGCTACAGGTGGGGAAACTGAGGCACAAACCCCAGAGGACAACACTGCAGCTGCTGAGCTTCACTGAAGTAAAGTGAGTCGCTGGCAGAACGGGGACTCGAAGGCAGGGTTCCTGACCCCTAGCCTAGCACGCAGACCCTCCAGCCACACCGCCTCCCACCCACCAGAAAGCCACAGAATGGGAGACACGCCCCCTTGTCTCAGAGGAGTCACCCCCAACCCATCCATCAATCAGCACCCGCTTTTATCGAGGGAAATACCTCAACCCAGCTGGGAGATATTTGGGGAAATTCTGAAAACAGGGCAGGAGGACGCCATGTGGGAACCGGCCTGAGAAGTGTGGCCCTGAGAGGAACAAGCCCCAGGGCTGGCAGGGACCTCCTGGGCCCTGGAGTCCTGGCAGTTCTGGCTGATAATCCTGCTCCGACATACATCCCGCTCCATCCTCACCCCAGCTAGGCTCCAGCAGCTCTTCTGTCTCCCTGGGCTTACCCCCTCCCCCTGAGGCCCAGGCCCAGCCTATTCCAACCCAAGAAGAGCAGGTGGAAAAGTGACCTGAATGTGCGCTTTAGGCCTCGCTCTTTTGCAGCAACCTCAGGGCAGCCGCTCAGGACTGGGGGCCTCTTGGGAAGGGGGCTCTCATGGAGGGAAAAGGGCTGATTTTTTTAACAGGCTGTTTTCTGCTGCGGGGGCTTAGGAAGCATGGACCAGTGGTTAGAGCATGAGCCCCAGACTCCGGAGAGCTGAGTTCAGGTCCCTCCTATGCCACAGATTGAGCGCTGGCTGGCAACAGCTGGCTCCATTGAGCTGAATGGGAGTTTTGCCCTTGACTCCAATGGGGCCAGGACTTCAGTGCCTGCTCTGTGCAGTTGGGATAAGAGCACTGCCCGGCCCCACGGGGCGTTATGAGGCTAAAGACTGAGATGCCCAGAGGCTATGGTGGTGGGAGCCAGACTCCCTTGGGAGGAGCAGGAGGATGGGGCTGGCTCAGCCGACAGGGGGCTGGCGCGTTACATTTTTTAACACAGAGAGTTTTTCTGCCAAGGGTTTTTCGAGTGTTTGAGTCAAACGGGCACTGAGCAAACTCCGCACAGTTCAGCGCTCTCGGTACAAGCTCGCCCCTCGCAGCTGATCTGGAGTCACCCCCCCTCCTGCTAGCCCCCCCACCCCAGGTGCAGAGGCGCTGACTTTCTGATTTCCCTGGGGGGGGCTCGACCCCTGCTCTGCCCCAGGCCCCGCCCCCACTCCACCCTGCCCTGCCTCTTCCTGCCCCCACTCCTCCCACTCCTCCCCAGTGCCTCCTGCCTGCTGCTGAACAGCTGATCAGTGGTGGGCAGGAGGCACTGGGGGTGGGGGGGAGGAGCTGATCCGTGGGGCCCGCTAGTGGTGCTGAGCCCACACTATTTTTTTCCCATGGGTGCTCCAGGGAGCACCCACAGAGTCGGTGCCTATGCCTGGGTGGCCCCTACAGGGAAAAGCAGCCCTCCTAGGCCCGCTTTCCACCCCACCAGGACCCAAGGCCCATGAGTGAGTTCTCAGGGCAGGGTCCCCTCTACAGGCTACGTACTCTGTGCGACCTCTGGCCGGGAAGCCAACAGCCCCCTGCCACTGTTCTGCCTGCAGCTCCCACCCCCGCAGCAGCCGTGGGGTGTGCCAGCGGGGGGAGGAGAGGGACTGAAGGGATGTAAAAGTCTCCATTAGTACCACGGCTGCCTCTGATCCTCAGAGCAGGGGCCTGTAATTTGCCAGCTTCCTCTACAATCCTCCTCGCTAGCGGGCACTGGGTGGGTGCCCGCGGTGCGAGCTGCCCTCCAAAACCCAACCCCAGAGGCGGGTGGCGTCCGCCTGCTGCAGAGAAGCCAGGGCTCCGGTGTGGTTTGAGTCCCGCCCTAATCAGCCGAGGGGAGGGTGGTTGACAGGACAGGGCTGACCCCTCCTGCCAGCCCCAGCCAGGGGTGCCGCAGGGCAGCGGAGCCAAGTCCCTCTCAGCGGCCCTGCATGCACAGCCAGGGTCCCTCCTCCCTTCCCAACAGCTCCTCTCTGTCACTATCCATGCTCCTTGCTGCCTTTCCCCGCAAACGTTCAGTTCTTCCCCCTCTCTTCGCCCCCCCCACATGGCTAAATACAGTGAGGGATGGGGAGAGAGGAGCAGTGCCCCAATGCAAAGCAATGACAGCTCCCGGCACCCCCAGCCCCAGGCGCCGTGTGGCAATGTTCCGGTGGGTGGTTACGCAGTGCCCCTGCCTTTGCCTCAGTGTCCCCAGCTTGCCCCCAGCCCCAGCTGGCTCCTGGGCCAGGCTTTCTGCCACTCTCCACGGCTGTTAGTTAGAGCCCCCAGGCAGGGCCCCGTGCGCTAGGGGCTGTACATGCAGATAACAAACAGGTGGGGAAAGAGAGCATGGAAGTGCCTGGCCCAGTGTCACCCAGCAGGGCCATGGCAGAGCTGGGCCCGGAAGCCAGGTTGCCTGAGTTCCCATCCGGTGCTCCGCCCACTAGACAAGACTTTCTCCCTGCCTACAGCCCCTGCCCCACTCGCCTGCCTGTCTGTTGTGGGGAACCAAAGCCCTGCAAGCGGGCCAGGTGTGCTCGGCTGGTGTAAAGGGAATTTCAGCAGAGGTTCTGCAGTTTTACACCAGCTGAGGATCTGGCCCCGAGCAGACCGACTACCTCAGTGTTGGGGCTCAGTCTGCGGCGTCCCCCTCGCTGTGTGTCGGGGTGCAGGGGAGTGCAGTGCACTGGGCCAAACCCCTCCTGGGTGCCAGCCCCCACCCTGAGGGGGCGAGATGGACCGAGGCTCAGTTCCTGCACCGCTGCCAGCACGGGGAGGCCCCCCCCACCACCCAGTAGGGGGCAGCAATCCTGGGTCCAGGAAAGGGGCAGCCCCACGCGCAGGGACTGCCTGGGGGCCACACCACAGCCCAGGGCCCCCTTGTGCCATGGCCCAGCCCCGCATCGTTGATCCAGAGGTTTTAAAGCTGGAAGGGTCTGACCCTGTTACCCCGGCACTGGGCCCCGGGACAGGTGGGTGGCGAGTGCATTGTCCCAGTTTCACTGCCGTGCCTGCCCCCCCGCGCCGAGTGTCCCGTCCCCGTCGGGGCGAGGGACATCAGAGTTGTTTCTCTCACGGTCCATTGCAATGGGAGATTTTCACCTCCAGCCATTGGTCCTGGCTCTGCCTTTCTCTGCCAGATCACAGAGCCTTTAGGCCCTGGGTTTCTCCTCACCACGGTGCTTAGACGCTGTAATCCAGTCCCCTGTTGATCTCCTTTCTAACAGGCTAGCCCGAGCTCCGCCAGTCTCTCACCGCCGGGCATTCCCTCCAGCCCTCAGATCAGTTCTGAGGCTCTTTTCTGCACCCACCCGTTTGTAACATCCTCTTTAAACTGCGGCCCCAGAACTGGATGTGGTGTCCAGGATCGACTCCCCAACGCCAGACGCCCAGGTACAATCACCTCCCTGTCCCCCCCTCGAGCCAGCCACAGGTCCCACTAGCCCTGTTTGCCACCGCCTCACACTGGGGTGCTGGTCCACGCTGACCCCTAACTCCTTTGGGGTCACTGCTTGCCAGAGCCAGGCCCCACCCCGCCTTCCTTGCTCCCAGCCGCAGAGCTGCGTGTGAACGGGCCCAGCTTACCAAGTGACCCCGATTGCTCTGTCCTCAGCGCTCATTACCACGGCGCCAATCCTGCGTTATCCACAAACGTCACCAGCAGGGATTTCATGGGCACGTCCAGCTCCTGAATAACATCAGGCCTAGAGCTGATTGGCAGCGCCCCACTAGATACCGACTGAGAACTACTCCTGGAGGTCTGTCACTTTCCCAGCTGTTCATCCAACTTCCATGCGCTCCACTGCTATTGTACAGGGTGATTTTTTTCCCAAGGGGCTGGCGGGGGTGGGGGGGGCAGCTGGTACCTCCCTCGTGCCGCCCTGGCATTCTCTATCTGGCCCCACATGTACGGCCCCTAGACGCTGCCAAGGTTGTGCATTGTGGGGCAGAACTGGCTCCGTAATCTAGAGCCACGCCCCAGCACCAGCGAGGGTCCTGCCGCAAACTCCGCCAGCTCCTACCCCCGTACAGGGTCCCACGAGTCACCGGCTCCTTCCCTGTGCTGGACGTCCATGGCCAGGGCGTCTGTGGGGCTGGCTGAGGCCGAGG